CATGTTGTCGTGACGTGAACCATATTGCGGGCCTTGGTTAAAAGGTAAACATGTTTCTGTCTGTCTTATGTGTACAATAATTGCGTAGTTTTTGTACATAGATCACGCTGTACTGAAAAATGTATGCAAATTTGAACCCACAGTCGAAAGCTAGTATCGATAAAAATAAGCATGAATAATTAGTATTAATAATTAATAAATTAATCGTGCTGTTGGAGAACCTCTTTTTTCCCACAAATAATTCCAAGGAAAACTTTGGTCGTAGGTTGTCCTGCAAGAGTAGAATCCCGTGTTTAGTTATAGAAGATTGCCTTTGATCAATATCATGGCAGTATGTCCAGCAGAAAAAGAATATGTCTCACTAATATACATTTTATAGTAATAAAAAAATGATATCTCTTAATTTTCAACAATATATATATATATATATATATGAAGGACCACTTGTTAATGACATAACGACGTTTATAATATCATATATATATATATATATATATATATAGAGAGAGAGAGAGAGAGTAGGAATCTACAATATATTTGCCTTTGACTACAAGTTTCATCAAATTATAATTATATATACAATATTAGCCATGAACACAAGATTGAATTTTGTTAAATTAATGGTGGCTGCGAATTGATTAGAAGGAGTAAGCAGCTGCATTAACGAGTCTGGGTTGCAGCATTGGGCCTATAACAATGGATGGACAAACTGCTCTTTGCAAATTCCAATGCTTCAGCTTCTGCTATTGTTTTCCCTCTTGGATGTATATATGTAATTTACAGAAGGATAAAAAAGTTGAAAAGTAAAAAAATCAGGTGAGAGAAATAAAAGGGAAAGTGAGAGTTTTTGTTTTCTTTTTTTGTTTTAAGTGGTTGATAAAAGAGAAAATAAGGATGAAAGAAAATGTCCACACTCCACATAGATTTATTTTACTAGTAGACACTTATTTGTTTAAAAGAATATATTCTCCCAACTTATCTTTCTAAAGTAACAAAGATTTTAAGATGGTTGGTCTCAAAGGATTTTATAGCTTATTAATTTCCTTGTCAATTTTCTTCTCCTCAGTCCTCTTTATTAAGGGAAAAAAAAAAAAAAAAACTTATTGTAAACTCATGGTAGAAGGATCATGAGCATATATAGATAAGGGTACCTAAATTTCCTTGCAAAATCTGTGATCAGACCAACAATCTTCATCCATGGACTTATCCTTTGGCCAGTTGGAAGTTAAAACGGACAACCTAGAAAACGCTAGGGCTCATTTAAACGACATCACCCTGAAAACGCACCGCAATCAAAAATGAAAGAGAGGGAGGGAAAAAAACACAAACAAACATTAAAGGAAGTATCGACGACGATAGAAATTTATGACGAATATAAAACAATGATAAAACAAAAAAAACAAAAACAAAAGGTTAAAAACCACAACATACTCAAAAACGGGAAGCAACGAAGTAAAAAATGAACAGCAATGGTATAAAACGACAATAAAGTTAAAAACAACAACAAAGCAAAACATAAAACCAGATAAAACCGAGAGAATAAAGTATATGAGAACTGGAAATGGCAATGAAAAAGGATAGAAATATAATGCATATATCAACAACTTGCAATAGTACTGTCAATCAAATAAAGTAACAACAAAAAGGAATCAGAATGACAAGGAAACTATAAAGAAGACAAGAAACTACATACATAAAATATATAAAGAACTAAGGGCATGTTTAGTGCACCATATTGTATTGTATCGTATAATTTTACTGCATTGTATAATTTTTATACAATACGGTATTTGGTTGGTGGTATTATTAAATATTATACTATTTTTAACGTTATATTATTTTTACCATTGTAATCTATTTACGTATTAGTTTGTAATAAGATAAAATTTAAGCCTAATTATAACTTAATTTGACTCTAATCTTAAACCAAACCCAACATTTAGAGGAAGCAAGCAAGGGAGAAAGTAGAGTTGCTACATAGGGGTCTTTTTGCAAAAAAAAATTTAAAATGGGTCAAATTGTAATTTTAAAAAAATTAAGGGTCAAAAGTATAATTTTAAAAAAAGTGAGGAGTCAAAATATAATTTTGAAACAATGAGGGGTTAAAACATAATTTTCAAAAAGTTTAAAGGTCAAAATATAATTTTTGAAAAGTCAGGGGTCAAAATATAATTTTTTAAAAATATAAACCGAACATCACTCTGGTAGGGGTGGCAATTCGTGTCACGTGTTGTGTTCGTGTCGTGTTTTGATCTTTTTTTTTAATTGTCAGTCAACCCGAACACGACCTGTGACACGAAATTTTTTAAAAACCGCAACATGAACACGACACGACCACTTTACGAGTTGACACGACACGACCCGAAAATGACCCGTGACACGAAATTGACCCGTAAATCCGAAATTGACACGAAAATTGTATACTTTTATTTACTTTTTTACATATTAGAAAGAAATTCAAATTCATAACACACTAAATTGCAATAACATCCATTGAAATTAAGCAAATAATAGTATAAGATTTTGAGTATAACTATCATGATATCACAAGTTCATAATAAAATTTAAAATATGAAGTGAAAAATATATGTATTTTTTAGTTTTCGTGTCGTGTTCGGGTTAGGCGGGTCCAACCCGAAATTGACCCGTGTTTTCGTGTCAATTTCAAGTCGACCCCGAACATCTTTTTTCTCAACCCTAACCCACAAAATTCGTGTCGTTTTCGAGTCGTGTCGTCGTGTCATGACCCATATTGCCGGCCCTACACTCTGGTACTGAAACTTGACCCCAACATCAGTCCCAAAACCCAACCCCGAGCCTTGATGTTTATGAAATATTTTATATGTTTTTTGTTGTGTGGGAAAATATGGCAGACGCGTGGGCGAAGTATGCCGCGACACGTGGCCTTGATCAACCCCCACCAAGCAAGCAACCCTCGACGCTTGAAGACCCTCGACGCTTGCAAGCTCCTCTTAGTCCTCCGCGAAGGCTCCGGGACGGAGTCTAAGTTAAGACGACGACCCATTGTGGCGCCGACCAATTGCGCCATCGACGCAATAGGATGAAGATCTCTCGACCACAGGAAGTTGCCATCAAAGAAGGCAGTTAGGCTAAGAAGTACTGGCGACGAGGGAAACGTCCTTTAGGGGACATTGCGGGTTACGTGTACAAGTGGAGGGGGTCTGCGAGCATTAATTACGAACTGTCAGACTGCCCCCACAGGGGACAAGAAAGTGTTACGGAGAAGCACAGAGCCGTAATAGAAGACTAAACAGATTGGATGAACAATGCAAATTAGTGGGCTACGTCTGGGCCTACCAAAGGAGAGCACTTGAGTGCTTCTAGCTGTGAGGGAAACCTCCCGAGCGAAGGAAGCCCCAGTATATAAGGTGAAAGACCCCCAACGAGGAAGGGGTTCAGGAAAAAACGCAAGCTAAGAAAATACATTGTAAACTGTATCTTACCCAAAGATAAAGAAATACAAGATTACAGTGGATGTAGTTCTGAAATTTATAGAGTGAACCACTATAAATTCCCTTGTGTCATTAATATCTTAGGAGTTTTCAATAGATCCTCACACACAAATAATTCACCATTTCCTGACATGTCAAAATATATATACACGGCCGGTAATCCAAAGGGAAACCAAGAGGTAACCCGGCCGGTTTTTTGTTGGCGAAATTCGACCATCAACATTTTTAATATGACATTTTAAGTAAATTGCATATTAGATATCACGCTTTGTATTGTATTAATTTTAATTCTCATATTAAATTATAATGTGTAGACATTGTATTATTATTAAAATATCACTACGATTGTTAGATTTATCAACTCTACAAAAACATTTATCAGACATGGTTGATGGTTCTGTATAAAGCGCCAACACGTCGATCAAGTAAATACTTCATATAATATATTCTGAAATGAGCTTGTATCTCTTATCAGCAAAAAACTTCTTTATATTATTAAAAGTAGAAATAATTAAAGGAAAAATAAAATATCTCTATTCATGAAGTTCTAAATAAATCCTCTTTTTTTTGGAAATAAATAAATCCTAATCCTACTATGATTATCCCTATTCTAGTCCATGGGAGCTAATTTCCATTGAGATCATTGTTGAATATCTCTATTCATGAACTCTATTAATGCAAAAATTGAAATTTTCTATATCTCTGAAATAGTCAAGGAGATCACACTTGAAACTCATACTTCCGAGTGACTTGGCTGAAATGGCTTCGTATAATTTCTGCATCAATATAAAAAATAAATAAATAAAACCGCATCAAAGTTGGCACTAGTAAAGAAATTCCATGGCAGCTAATATTCATTGACATCATTATTGCTATTATATATACTAGTAAAAAACGGACACCCTCATTTAAAGCAATGATTATATAAATTGTTAAAAAAAAATGAAAAAAAGTAAAAAACACAACAGAAATAAAGACAAAAGGGAAAAAATCTAAAGTAAGAAGTAGGGAAAAAAAGTACAAAAACTAAAAAAAAAAAAAAAAAAAGTTTCGCCTAAGGAAGGAAAAAAAAAAAAAAAAAAAAAACCTCTTGCGGCGTGTTTCGCAAAACTAGAGAGAAACTTATTCTCAAATAATAATGCGGTAAAGATATCAAATTTGAGACTCTAAATGCTATTATTAGGCAGTAACAGGAAAAAATTGAAACAATAAAAAAAAATTATGGAAAAGCTGCATATATATATATATATAAGGGTCGTTTGACTTTGACTAGGGTTTAGGGCATGTAATCCGTAGACTTCGTACGACAGGCACAAAGAGAGACTTATTCCCATCCCCTGATATATACACAGAAATATAAAACCCTAAAACCAACGAAGTTCTAATACCACACACACCACACATAAACATAACTTTATAAACAAACAGCCAATCAATCAACTATAAATACATATCAGATATTAGAAATCATAATAAATGGAAGCTTAAAAGAAAAATAGAGATCAGATACTATTGGAATATATTAAGCTAGGTATAAAGGGGAAGAAACCTATTGATGATGTGATCACGTCCTTGGATCATGTGGGCGCAGGTGGGGCAGGAGGAGTGCCATCGGAGCCAGGTGTTGATGCAAGTCACGTGGAAGGCGTGGCCGCACTGCCTGAGCTCCCGGATCTCGTCGCCCTCGGCGAACTCGAAGAGGCAAATGGTGCAGTTGGCGGCGGCGAAACTTGGATCCACGTCGGCGGTGGAAGAGCTCTTCTTCATCAACATCATCTTCAGGCATTCGAAGAGACAACTACATACGACAAGGAGGACTGTGAGGCAAAGTAGGGCTATTAGGGCGTAGAAGACGTCGGTGAATAACACCCCGATGAAGGAGACATCGATCTCAGGCAACGGCGAGGAGGCGCTGCCGGCGGTTACGGTGGTTGACGACGGCGATTTGACGCCGCCCAACAGTCGGAAGGTGCGAATCGTCATGTGAAATTGAATGTGAGAGAGAGGTTTTTACGTAGGATCAGTAAAGTCCATCACATGATCTCAAAAGTCAAAGTCAAACGCAACTCGTATTTGTTTTTTCTTTTCTTTTTCTCTCTTTAAGCAAAAATGGTAATAGTTTTTTTAGTAATTAAAAAAATTACAATACTTGGTTACCTAAATACAAAACACAATGAGTGATTAGATGGCATAAATGTAAAGGTATTAAATTTTGATGACATAATACATAATTTTCTCTTTTTAAAAATCACATCAAACCCGACCAATTTTTACGTATTGGGCTAGCCCGTTTAATAATCGTTCGTGTTGGCTCATGTCACGTCCACGCTAACCCTCGAGACCCTCTAAATCGAGTCATTTTGATTACTTCGACACGATCACTCCTAATTACTTCTTTGATATATTTAAGAGACATTAAGAAGAGTTGTATAGAAAGATATACAAGAAAATGTGTGATCATATTCAAAAGCAACTCATATCCAAAATCGTATGTTATTGCAACAGAAAATAAAAATTTTAGAGTCCCTAACTGTATAGTGCTAATAGAGCATTAAATAAAAAAATATATCAAAGAATTATCTTTTTTGGTTTATCGATTGTTACATTAATGAAAAGGACATATATATATATATATAGAGAGAGAGAGAGAGAGAGAGAGAGAGAGAGAGAGAACTGTGTCTATCAGGATTGATTCCGTCCAGAACCGGTATCGGTAGACAGAGAAGCAAGTATAGTAAACAGAGAATATAACATAACATCAAAACATGTCTGAAAGACTAGGGAGAAAGCTTTCTTTACAACAGGAATAGGATCCATGAGAAGGATTTGGCCACGCACAGCTGAATAAGTCTCATTCAAACCCATTAAAAATTGCATGGTTCTATCTCTATCTCTATGTGCCTCTAAAATTTTCGTAGACCCACAAGAACAAGGAGGAATAGGAATATAAAAATTCAACTCATCCCACAGAGTTTTCAGTTTTGTGAAATAAATAGTGATAGAATCCTGACCTTGTGAAATGGAGCTGATTTTTCTTTGAATCTCAAAAATCAGCGGTCCATTAATTTGAGAGAACCTTTCTTGCAAATCTACCCAGAGATCCCTTGATGTTTCTGCATAAATGGCATCCGCTGCAAGTTCTGGTGCGAGTGCATTTATAATCCATGAAGCCACCATATCATCACAGCGTTTCCAAGAGTCAAAAAGGGGATCTGTATTAGATGGTTTAGGAATGGATCCATTGACGAAGCCAGCTTTGTTCTTTGCACTGAGAGCCTTTATCATAGCTTTGCTCCACATAATATAGTTTTCTCCGTTTAGTGAAGAAGAAACTAGAACAGTACCGGGATTGTCCGAAGGGTGTAAAGAAAGCATATTTTTAAGCTCTTTTTCTTTGTCTGTTTGTGAAGCCATGGTAATAGGTGTCAAAAAAAAAAAAAAAAACTGATAAGAAAAAGACTGCAGGCCACGTTGTGGCTCTGATACCATCACAAAAACTTTAAAGAGAAATACGAAGAAGACAAAGTTTTGGTGGAATAATTCTTCTTATTCGTATAGGGGAAATATAAGGCTATATATAGCCAACTGTACAACAATTAGAGAATAGTAAAATAAAGCTAGAAAAGGAAATAATCAAAAGTCAATACAATTCTAGACCTACAATCACGAAATCTAAAATCATGGAATTATAATGAAATCAAGGAAATCAAGGAACCGAGAAATCTCATTTAATCTAATATCTCCAATAACAAAACAAATGACATGACACAAAAGAGGGATAAAGCTTTGAGCTTATCAACAAGAATTAATAAACCAAACTTTACCTCTGGGCTCTGAAGAAACTTATTCCAAATTGAGCTTAATTATATATTATTATGTGTTTCAACAGTAAGTCTTCCAACTCCACTTAATCCAAAAGTCCAGCAGCACGGTAGCTTTCGACGGAATCGATCAGAGTCTCTTCCAGTGGCCGGTATCTCCACCCCAACCTCTGCAGCTTTTCTGAGCTCACTCTCTCTTCATTCTCTACTTCAGTAAAGCTGCAATTTACACACACTTTCATCTTAGTATTTTATCAATATCCACATCTAAGCAATGTTAGAAGGGGGATCCATCTTAAGGTTTTTCGCTCACAATAAATCTAGGGTCTTGATCGAGAAGCTAGTAGTCCTACTTGTCCGTCCACATTTTCCGATTAAAATTCCCTGCTTTCCTTAGTTAATTGAGTTCGGTACGTACTAGTGATTAATTCCAGACTAGTTTGACATTCTAATTAAGGATTCTTGTGATTTCGGAGGATCTAGGAGCTTCCCTTAGACACTTGCTCTAGTTAAAGAGTGAATTCAGTACATACAATTCACTATTCAAAGTTTCATCAAGTCTTCTAGCTAGTTTCTCTTATTATTATGTATATTTTTCTAAAAAGTCAACAATATCTTTTATTTTGAAAGTATGTAGTATGTACACCATAAAAGATAACTTAATAAAGTCAGGAACATTCCCAACTAATCTAAGTAGTTTTATGCTAAACTATCTAAACGTATTACAAACTCAAAATATTAAAAACGCTGCAGCCAAACCAAATGAAGCCCCACAAATGGAAGCAACATATTTCTCACTGGTCTGATAAAGAAAAGGTCGCAAACACCAATTCAGTCCAAGAATTTATGACTCAAGGAATCACTATATTGACACAGACCTCGGTGGAAAAACAGATAGCACTTGATCAGAAACTTACTTCTTAGGACAATTGTACTGAGGATATAAGCTCCTCAGCTTATCCACCAGATCCTTTGCCTTGATCAAGTGTGCTGTACATATATATCTTCCTTCCGCCTCAGGCTTCTCATACGCCATAAGAATTGCTTCAGCCACATCGCGCACATCTACTATCATCCGCAGCTTGTTTTCCAAGGGCTCGTACCCGTCTGCTTAGAATTTAGCATTTGTGAAACGCAGCTAAGTATGTGCTGGAAAGTTGTTATCAGTTCGTACAATTCATGTAATACTAATACCTTTCAAAATTTTGAGGAGAACCAAGGTACTCGCGTTCACGTTGGACTGTAGAATCGGCCCCAAAATAAGGGTGGGACAAATTGTCACAATGTCAAGCCCAGTTTGCCGTGAAAATTCCCAGGCCTCACTTTCTGCTTCGGTTTTAGAAAGAGAATACCAGTTCTGCCAAAAAAAATGCGATAAGGGAGTATGTGTTAAGAATTAGATGCTCTATGCCTTTACAAGCGAGAGTAATAAAATTGCAAGAGAAGAGCAAATAAACAAGAACATATATAGTGATTCACCCTCAAAGATGAGAAATTGCACACCTCATTTCATTGGTTCAAATTATAACTCAAGTTTTTACTACAACGTTTTCTCTCACAGAAATTCAAATTCAACCTTTTGTGCTATGCTATTTTCTCTCACATAAATTCACTTTTCAACTCAAGTTTTTAACTCCAATCAACAAAATAAATAGAGTAAGACTAACAATAGGCACTAGGCAGTCAGTGATCTACGTAAAAATTTACCAAAAAATTTACCAAAATCCTTCTTTGTTTGATGTATTCTTTAGTTTTTCTCAGAACTCTTTACGATTCCTAAGAAGGTACCTTAGTTGTTCTGCAATATTCCTTATCAGACCAGCACGATTCATCCATGACCCGGTCTTTAGGCCATGAAGGATTCATAACAACGGCAGCAGCCGATGAGACGTAAACCACCTGCTTGACTTTCGCCTCAAGGCACGCCTTTAGTACATTGAGTGTGCCCTTCACGGCAGGCTCCAGCACTTCCACCTGCACCGCATTAGAAGGAGTTCAAGAAAATGCGCCGATGAAAATAAGAAATTTTGATAAATAGAAATAGGACGAATGTTAGATCAATCATTCTATCAATCTCTTCGTCACTTTTTACATTAATAGAGTTCACGTATCAAACAGTAAATATAAAAAGTCACAGAAAAAGTATACTAATATAAGGGTAGTGAGAATCATTACCTCGGGATTTGGGACAGTGGTGGAAGGAACCGGGCTGGCAACATGGAACACTCCGGTGCAGCCATGAATTGCGGAAACAAGGGAATCGTAGTCCAACAAATCTGCTTTCACCAGTTTAAGGTTCTTCGATTCCTTCTCCATTCTATGCAAGTGAGAATACTTCTCATCCTCTGCACACACGTTTCAGAACAGTATTAATAACATTGGGAAAATTAGGCCAAATTTTTAACAAATGACCGGACTTTTTATTTTCTAAACAAATGATCAAACTTTTTTCTTTTTTAAGGAAAGGGAATGGCAGTTTTTTTACGGTAACTAATCAATAATAAAGCGTTGCTAAAATTTAAAAAAAAAATCAATAATAAACCGTAATCAATCAGTGATAAACAGGTTATCATCAATTTACTATTGATTTAATTTGGTGATGGAAATTGGTTAATCATTAATTGATATTAATTAATTAAACGATTAATTTATATTAATTAATCAAATGATAAAACGTTAAATTAACCAGTGGTTAACCATCAAATTAATCAGTAATAAACTAAAATTAACTAAAAAAGAAAAGCATTTCCTTAATTATAAAACTTAAGCCATTTGCTTAAAAAAAATCATTAAAAAGGGGCCAAATCCCTAACTATTTTTCTAAACTAAAACTGACTTATTAGTGAACCAGGTATGTATATAACAGTTGTTTGGTAATTAGCGTATTTGAATAGTCAACTTTTCAAAACGCACGAATGGAATTGTAAGTCAATATCCACTTCGAACTGAAAAGTCATAGAAAAAGAAAGAAAGAACAGAGATTACGTACTGGGATTTCGAAGAGTTCCATGGACAAAGTAGTGTTTAGAGAGGAGAAGCTTGACGACCCACGAAGCAACGAACCCACCAGCTCCTGTCACGCACACCCCTCCCTTCTCAGCCATCTCTCTCTCTCTCTCTCTCCTACTCCAAATGCAGAGGAAAAATAAAATGCTGAGCTGAGTCGATGTAGGAGTGATAGTTACGTGCTAAAGTGCAGTTGTTGCCACTTGGCCCTTGCCACGCCTGAATCACAAAACGACAATGCGTTTCCGGTGGAACTCTCTCGACTCTTTCTTTGGTAAAACAAACGAACTCTCTCGCTCCTAAATGACCATAATAAAATACAAGAGTATTTGACTATGGACGAAAATAGAATCTCTTAAGTAAAAATGAATACGAGTGCTAAGTCTCAATAGAAAAGAACACACTCAGCACATTAATGATAGAATGTGACAAAAATTCATAAGTTTATGTATAAAATCAGTCAATCAAGAATAAAAGACCCATAACACTAGGATTACTCACAATAATCAATACCGTATATGATCAAACTTAGCAGGATAGCTATAGATCTACCGCCACCATAAAAGTTGGGACAATAACTTACGTTATTACATGACGAAAACATAATATCGTATCTATTCAATCAAAATCAAAATACTAAAAACTAAAAACGAGACAAAATTTCATAAAGAGTAGATCAGCGAAGACCCCTGCGACTCCACTACTGACGTTGAGCACTTATCCATGCACAACGCCTACTTCCATGACCACTGTGATGAGAAAAGTGAGATCCTAAAGTTGTAGGTATGCAGGAGATCTAACGTGCACAACATGGTCGGCTAAAAGACTGGCACCTCCTATTCCTTCCCCCATCCACAAAGTCGCTACCACCACCATCATCATTGCCTTGAGACCCCATTTTTAAGTTGACGTTTGGTTAATGGATTCATAATCATTCTTGATTTACGTGTGTTTTTTATGAGAGAAAATATTGTAGCGAACCACGAACCATGATTCGAATCATAGCATGAATCTAGCAACCAAACAACCCAAGGCTGAGGTTCGGCGGCCAATCAAGGAGCGGCGCACAAAGAGAAGAAAGAAAACTTAGTGAGAAAAAGGGAGAGAAAGATGACAATTTAATAGATTGAGAACTCATTCTTAAAGACTTATTTATTAAAGTGTGTATATATCACACAGACACAAGTTATTAGTATTGTTTATTTTTAACTGTTAGATCTAATTAGAATTACATTAATATGTACAGTACAAAATTGATATTTTTTAGTACAAATCTGACGATTAAAATAGAAAGTAATTGATATGTTTTTTTTTCCATAACCTTGATAAAATTCTCCTAAAAAATTAGTATCCAATATAATATTTATATTTTTTAACTATTATTGCATAACTTCAACTAAATTAATTTAATAGGTGAAATTCTTTAAAAAAATATTATCCAATATAATATTTTTTTTAATCTTCAACTAAATTATCAATATGATATGATTGTGAAGTGGTCTTTTAGTTTAAATTATGCTCTCATAAGGGTTTTTTTTTCATGACATAATACATAATTCTTATTAATTTACATAATACGATTTGGTTTTAAGAACCGTTGCACATATATTTATTTTGGTTCATTAAATAAGGAAAATTTTGTTGACAACATAATTCATCCACCTTTTTATAGACTGAAATTCAATTGAAAAACATCAAACAACTACAAATAAATAAATAAATCAAAATAAAATAAAATGAAGACATAATGAAATAGAGTTGTTCATTTGCACCTAAACTCAAAAAAAAAATTGAACTTAAGTTACAACTTTATTAAAGTTCATGTTCTTCTATAAAATTTGAGTTTGAAGCTAAAATCTAAGTTCAAATTCCTCATTCAACTCAAGTTCCTAAACTCAAACTCAAGTTAATGAACAATATTTTTATGTTCTTAAAAACGCCATAACTTTTTCTTTTTAATTCCGATTGATATGATTTTTTTATATGCGTTCACAACGAAGAGACGAATAAAACTCAACCCATATACTATATTAAAATTTTCCATCACCATTGAATTTTTATTAAAATACTATCTAAATACAAATTTAAGTTTTCACCCACCAAAAAACAAACTCAAATAGATTTTCAATTCAAACCATAACTCAAAATATGCATATCTAAACACAAACTCAAATTAGAATCCTAACTCAAACTATACTCAAATACACCTTAACTAACTCAATTTATCCTAACTCAAAAAATGCAAATTAATAAGGCTGTAGAACGTAGCTCAGCCCAATATAATCTAAGTCCATTATGATTTTGATTGTTTTTAAACGAAAAATAAACTCATTCATACCATTTAAAATTTTTCTCTTAGAAATCTGCTTTACACATGTTCTTTCAAAATAGAATGTGATTTTTTGACGTTTGGTTCATGAATTCAGAATCATGATTCAAAACTATTTTCGTTTTATGTGTATTTTTTGTGAGAAAAAAATACTGTAAATAAACATAAATCATAATTCAAAATCAATAACAAATACAGAAAACAAACGTCGTACACTGAATCCTCTCCCATCTTGAACAGTACTTAAGTATGAATTGGTTGTTATCTCCTAGTGGTTGTCCATTATCATCTTGGAATCTTGCTCCTCACGACGTTAAGCTCTTCATGGAGATAATGGCAATAAATTAGAGGAAAAGTTTGGTAATGAGAGGGCATGTATAAAATCTTGTTAGTAAGGAGGGTATAGTTATAAAAAACAATTTTTGAGACTGCATGCAATGAAACAAATTTTCCAAAATTCTTCCCTCCGTCCTCTTAAGCTTTGGAAATGTAACAATCACAGCTAAATAGGGTAAACAAAATAGTTTACAAATCTGACAGTCTTGGAGTTATTTGTAGTGAGACGCGAGTAAATTGTCAAATAAAATATGTTGCATTTTCTTGACATGTGATTTTTTTTTTGTTTAATTCTGAAAAAAAAAATTATTTTGTTGCTAGCTAGCTACCTCATTCGGATAACATGGACATCTAACTCGACAAAGATGGGCTCCAACTTAAACACGATATGGTTTCAAATATCTTGTTCCTTGCTCTAGACTATCCCCGACAAAATATTGTAGCGAACTACGAATTATGATTCGATCAGGGAATGAAAAAAAAAAAAAGCATATTTTTATTTATTTATGTTGATATGAGTCTTCGTCTAAAAGTAATTTTCACATGGAAAAATCAAGTTAGTTTGTATAATTGGATAGTTAACTCCTCAAGTTATGGATGAACAAAAAAAAAAAAAAACCATCCAGTTATGGTCATCTAACCTTCCCAGGACCCACCACAATATGGACGCCTATGTCACATTCGATATACAGAATAGTTGCAATCAATAATGCATCAAAAAACAAACAAACAAAAACTAAACGTGAAAAATTTTTAAAACGAAAAAGAAAGAAAAAGATAGCGGAGTCTAGACACTAACATTAGTTTGAATTTAAAGCATAGAACTACACTAACGTGGTGGAAATAATAATGACTTATCCAAAAATTAATAAATGCATTGAATTTCAAAGATCGAATTAATTGAAGATTGCATCTTAAATTTTCAATCACATCAAATGATTTTTTTGGATTGAATATCGTACGCAACGCAACGATGAAAGAAGAGGATGAGATTGAAGCAACATGTATGTCCATGCAATTAAAAAAACAGCTATACCGTAAGTAGTCGACGGTTGAAGAAAAATTTGGTCACTAGCTATAAATGCACACCTATAATTACTAGAACAATTTCTGTATTGATATAGTGTGTGATAATTCTAGATTATCATTTATTTTTTATGGGAGATTTTTTTTTTTTTTTTTGTAATATTGACAAATACTCTTAGAAAATACACAGGTCATGATTTTTACTATTTATTCTTGATTCATAACCTTTTTAGTCAAATAATTTCACTAATAAAAAGGTATTTATTAAGAATAATGGGTAAAAATCTAAACTCATGCACTCTTAAAGATAAATTATGTTATTTTTTTATTTATTTTATAGGAAACTGATAGTCTATATTTTAGAGTACTTGAAATTGCAATACAATAATTTATTAAATATTTATCAAAATTACACTACATATTTTAAAAATGGTATAATTAATAATTACCAACCCTAATCACAAAAAAGAGCCTGCTTATAACTAGAAGTGAAAATTCAGACCGTTCGGTTTGGTTCAGCCTGACCCTAAATGGAAGAGGGACGGCCCAGCTTGGTTCGACTCAAAATTTTATATGGTATTAAAAAAAAACCTTTAAAAGAGAGCGTTTATCTTGTCTAAATAAACTTTTAGACTCAAAGTCTTAATCTAGACCGATTATTTGACCCGACCCAAATTTACAGCTTCACTTGTAACCTTGGCTATGCTAATGTTTTTCGAGAATTCGAGAGGAATGCCTTCCTAGTAAAAGATGGTAAATTTATTTCATTGTTAAATACTCATAGACTCTTTTTATAGATTTAATTTAAGAGGTATATAATTTTTGAAAAATACATAAATGTAAGGGGCCATAGTTTTAAATTAGGGGATGTGTATGGTAGGGGACCTTGAAACTTGGAAGCTCGTACCGGTAGGTATAATAAGTATCGTTTGTCAAAATCAAGCGGGTAAAAAATATGAAGGACCACCAAACAAACATAAACCTCCCACAAATGATTTTAACAACATTCATTCAATAAATAAATAAAAATTAAACTATTAAAAAAACCCATATTGAGTTTCTACCCTTTTCCACCATCGAACCGACACCCTACTATGACGGAGAATCATCCATCTCCTGGACCCATTCCGCGGCGTCGGCAGCTTGGTGCCTTTCACTCCCCATCATCGAACCCCTCACGACCAGGCCACTTTCAAGAGGCGTTCTTCGTATATCTAGATTCATTGCTCCCCATCATTGAACCCCTCACAGTCGCATCACCGCCGACAAAAATTTTCAATGGAGATTGGCAAGGTGTAGATGAGAATTACCGGTGTTCTTCGCAGTGGTCGTTCCCATCGAAGAAGAAGGAGACGCCTTGGGTTTCGGCAATTTGACAATGGTCGGACAAGAGTTCGCGCCGACGTG